TGGATTGATTCAGTGACTGGGGTAATCGGGATGGGTGTATCAGAGGCAATGCGATTTGCACGGGATAGAGCAGGGTTTAGGGCTGTTGTACATAGCGTCGCTATGAGTCATAAGCGACTCGACGGCACATAACAACAACAACAACAACCATTGGGACAAGTAAAAATTCCAGGCCTTTCAAGCCATCTCTAGTTGAGTTCAAACCATCAACTTTTGGATTAACAGGCAAACACATTGACCAGTTGCACACATCCCCATGGAGAATGTAATTCCTTGAACGTCCCACATTTGTGGCAAAACTTAATTCCTTACTTGTCCAATAAAGAAGGAAGCCCAGGGTAATGCTTATTGGTAAGGGTTTCACAACATGGTTGATATAATTGGTGTTGACAGATTATACACATGTTGAATTGGAAAAGTTAATGTTATCTCCATTTTGCAACTAAAAAGATTGAAAAGGGAGGAAAGTAAGAAGATGCCTTTGACATCTCTACAGATATATAGCGGCTGTGAACTTGGCTTTCCAGCAGCAACAAACCAGGTGATCTTCATGGGTCCATTATCAGGTGGAGGTCTCAGATGATTTTCATATTTATTTAGAATGGGATTGTGGGAGGGTATAGAAAGGAGTGGAAGGAGGAGAGAAAGAAAAGTTTCAAGGAGCTACTTATCAATTCCAACAGAAAACTTCTGATGCATTCTTAGAAAGATTTCATTTCTATTACCATGATAATGGTAGTTGGAGATGAGGAGTAGTGTGTGGTAGTGATGATAGGAAACACAGAATTTAGGGCAAGCTCTGCAGGGAACTCTGAGAGCTTAGTGGTAAGGAATTGAGCTGCCAATGCAAAGGTACAAAGTTCGAATCCACCAGCCGCTCCATGGGAGCAAGATAGACCATGTCCTTCCATGCAGTTTATAGACTGAAAACCAGCTGGAGGGGCAGCTGTAGGCTGGTTCTGACCCAGTGATACACAACCACCACCACAACAAATTATAGAATTTTGGTGATTTTCCTGAGCTCAAACGGCCAGTGATTGATAGCTTACATTTTAATAAAGAAAACAATGATTTTTGTAGAATTTCTTTCCACATAACAGTGTTAATTTTCTTCCTTTGTGATTTTTTTTAAACTAATTGATTAAGATTCTTTTTCAAATGGGGAAAAATAATAGGAAAAATAAGATTTGTTGGATGGTTAGCTGGCAGCTTTGAGTAAAGATTTTAATGTTTATAAGGTGGTTAAAAGTATAGTCCAATCCTTTAGTCTCAACTAATTTGTTGTTAGCTGCCATCAGGTCAGTTGCTGACACTGGGGACACTGTGCTGCGCGGGACAGGCACTTCCTGGGACTCAGCTGTTCCCACACCGGGGGCTGATCTCTTGGGTTGTCAGTGGTTGGTTTTTAGAAGTCGATTGCCTAAGAGAAGCCAATAGGACTGCAGAAGTGTTTGTTCTCTGTTTCTCCTGTGCACTTGAAATCTTAATAAAGACATTTGCTTGTGTGTAAATGAGATTACCTGGGTGAAAAACCCTCCAGAAACTCTCATTAAGTTGTGCCTTTTATGAAATTATATTCATGCTATTAACAAGAAGTAGCTATTAGAATCCACTCAGCCTTTTGCTGAAGCCCTATCTGAAGGTGGCATGGCCTATTGTTGTTGCTGTTGTTGTGTACCATCGAGTCACCTGTGACTCATAGTGACCCTCTGTACAACAGCTCAGACCCTGCTCTATCTTGAGCCAATTTCATTGGCTCTGACACACCTACCTCCCTTACCACAGTTACTGTGTCAGTTCATCTCATCCAGCATCTTCCTCTTTTGTGCTGGCCCTCTACCCTTCCAAGCATGATGTCCCTCTCCAAGGACTTGCCCCTCCTGGCAACATTCTCGAAGCCCTATAATGGATGGAGAGGAGATTAAGGTTGTTAACAGTTACAGTTTGCCCAGCTCTACAATCAACACTGCTGGCATCAGCAGTCAGGAAATCCAAAGATGAATTGCATTAGGTAAATCTGCTATCAGGGACCTTTCCAGAGTACTGAGAAGCAATGATGTCAGTCTAGAGACTAAGATGCACCTGATCCAGGCCATGGTCTTTGCAGTTACTTTCTATGTATCAGAGAGCTGGACTAAGGATAATGGAAGAAGAATTGATGCCTTTGAGTTGTGGTTCTGGAGAGGAGTCTTAAACATACCATGAACCACCAAGGAAACAGGTTTGTCTTGGAGAAAGTGAAACCAAGTTCCTTTTTGGAGGCTAGGATTTTGAAGCTCCATCTTACATACTTTGACCATATGGCCAAGAGGGACTAATCCCTGGAGAAAGACATATTGCTCAGGAGGGTGGAGGGACAGCACAAGAGAGGAAGACCCTGGATGTGATGGATTGATACAGTGACTAGGGAAATGGGGTAGGTGTGTTGGAGTAAGTCAGATTGGCTCAGGACAAGGTAGGCTTTAGAGCTGTTGTACATAGGGTTGCTAGGAGTCACAGGTGACTTGACAGGACATAACAATAACAAAGAATAGCCTGGTTTCACCCTTTCCAAGACACACCTGTTTGTTCTCTTCGTGGTCCATGATATTTTCAATACCCTTCCCCAGCACCACAACTCAAAGGCAGTGATTCTTCTATTGTGCTTAGTCATTGTCCAGCACTCTAGTGCATCGCAAATAATTGCAAATACCATGGCCTGGATCAGGCGCACCTTTGTCTCTAGACTAACGCCATTGCTCTCCAGTTCACTGGAGAGGCTTTTAACAGCAGATTTTCTCAGTGCAATTTGGTGTTTTGTTTTGTTTTGTTTGGTTGGGTTTGTTTTTTGGTGTTTTTTTTTTTAATTTCCTGGCTGCTGGTGACTATATGGCCTAACATCCTCTTTATTTTCCTTCTTAAATTTAGTAGAACAGAGAATACTCAACGCCTCTTATAATAGCCCACATAAATAATGTTCACACTTTTATAATGCATATAGCATACCTAGGAAACTAACACAAAAGCAACTGCAAAGTTTGTAAACCCCTCATAACATGCATGCTATTTACATAACTATAGTTCTTGATCCCCAATGCCTATTTCCCCCTATAGGAGAATTACTAAGAGGATTTTGAGCCCAGAAATATGGAGCCAGTGTTGGTGTGCAGTTGGCACTGCTATGTCTGTTCATCTGAGGTCATTTGCCTCCCTTCTTAATTTACTGTGTTTGATCTCAGTTTCTATCACTTTTATTTTGGTGAATGCATTCCATAGTGTATAATTAGATAACATTATAATGGAAAGTATTGATTCCTACTTAGTTACATGTGCACAGATCCTTCTATGTTGCTGTAATGGTTCAAACATACCTTTCAACAGTGAGAGCTTATCCTTGTAGTTTTCTTAGCACAGCTGCCTTGAGACCAGCTCAGTCTAGGACTATGTCCCTTTGAAACACCTGCCTTCCAGAGACAATTTCTAGTGGGAAGAGAGCATCCATCCACTGCCTCCCTCAAGATCCTGAGAATTTCAAGGTCCTGCAAACTCCTTTCTTCTCTGAGAAACTACAGAATCCAAACTAATAACCTCCTTTTTCCAGTGTTTGACCAATCTATGGATTACACGGGTTTATTCTTTTTCTTTTTCTACCCCATGATCATTGAAGCCGATGGTGCTCTGATTTTTCTTTTGTGCCCAGTTGGAGTATTAAGTCAACCCTTCTGTATCTCTGCTGAGCCTGGCAGATGTTGGAAGGAATGAAGAAGGGGAGGGCATGCCATCCACCCTGATACACACATGCTGCCTTTAGATGGGGCTCATCCTGAACAACTCACTGTAAATCCCCAGGATCCCACATGTGGTCCCTGCAGGAGAGCAGGCCCTCTAAAGTCTATTTTAAAACCTATCCATGCAGTCAGGCTCCAGTTGACATTCATGCATTCAGGACAGGCGAGGAAAGGGGCAGATGGAATGCTCTCTTCCCACCAGAAATTGGCTCTGGCAGGCGGGCGTTTCAAGGGGACTTAGTGCTGTTCTGATCCCAGTCTGCTAATAGTGGAAATCTCTGTGAGTAATGTCTAAAATCATCTGCTTGGGGGACTTGGGGATTTGCAGAGGGGAACACAGAATTTAATTTTTTAAAAAAAGAACTATTTAATTTAAAGAACAAATTCTCCCGTGAACTAATTGACTCCCAGCTGGTCCTTTCTGGATTCCGAACTAGACAGTGGGCACCAGCCAAATAATTAGTGTCTTGTAAGAACTGTAAATTATTGTCACTTAATGAAAAAAAAAAAAGGACTCCAAATCCATTTTCTTCCCCTTCACTTTTATGTAATGCCCTAGAGGACTTTGGTGACAAGATCTGCATTTTGTTTTGCAGCCTACTTGGAAGAGATCCAGTCAGTCCGTCGCCATACCAACAGCATGCTGGAAGGCACCAAGAGCCGGCACCCTCCCATCGTCGTCCACTGCAGTGCTGGGGTGGGCAGGACGGGCGTGGTCATCCTCTCAGAGTTGATGATCTACTGTCTGGAGCATAATGAAGTAAGTTGTCCTGGGCCTCTCTCTGCATGGCCCACCACTGGGACGAGTGGGCACAGTCGGCCAGCCATTGCATATGCCCTTTCATTCCCAGTGATTCACATCCTCTTCATGGCCCAGACTTTCTGGTCTGACATTTACAGCTGCTTATCTCTCTGCCTCCTGCTGTTCTATGCCCACACTCAGAGAGAAAGGAGAAGAAATGAGAGTGTGAGGTAGAAAGCACTTGGAAAATCCCATCTCAGTCAGTAGCTAGTTCCAGAACTCTGTGGTGGCCAGCAAAGGCTTAAGTTTTATCATGAGTGATTTTCTCAGGTGGGTTGGTTGGCCCTATGTAGTTTAGTTTCATTTCTAGGATGCGTTTTTGATCTAAATTTGTTGGAATAAGTGTGTGCACTTTGAAACCAGCTTTTGTTCTTTATAGTAAAGCTTTGAGCTACAACAAATCACTGGCTGCACCCTAGCCCTGGCCCTGGTGTGGCATATAGCAGGGGTAGAGGGGTGAGTTTGCAAACATCACTCGTCTTTACATAGGCTGGAGCCCAGCTCTTCTACTGAGGGAACTAGTCTGCTGTTCAGCTTGCCCCCACAAGGTGTCTGGCACTCCTTTCCTGCTGTAGCATCAAAAGGTACATTGCAGATATGACTAGTAGTAGTCAAAAGCTAATGGACTATTCGACTATGTTTTATTTACACAAGACTGTGCAAGCTTTAAGGATTTGTGGAGACGTAGCGTGTTGCATGTTGCACAGCTGCATGAAGGGTCAGCATTTTTAATCTATCCACTTCGAAGAAGAAAGATGAGCTGTCTCCACCTGTATGGACTTACAGCCCCACAAACCCTCTCTTTGGAGGCCTAGCCTGAGTCACAATTGACTTGATGGCAATGGCTTTGGTGGGTTTTAGTGCTGTTCTTTTATTCATCGGGTGATGCTGATTTAACAGCTAACTAAAGTGTTGGAGGGCCAAGTTCACCTAGGGACACTTTGAAAGAAAGGGCTGAGTATCTTTACTGCAGGCATTGAAAACCTTAGGGGTTTTCCTGTGACTCAGAGGGGTCTGCCATGAGTTGAAGTTGATTATGGCAGTTGGTTACTGGTACTTTTCTGAGGGACTCTAGACCCCACGCCCCCATTTCATTTCATTTTATTCCACTCTTGTAGTTGCCATGCACTGGAGCTAAGCACATCACTCCACATGGTTTATGGATGTGGAAACCGAGGACCCAGAATAGAGTGTCTTGTCTAGAGTCATGTGATTCTTAAGCAGTGACGTCTGTCTATTGGTCCAGAATTATTTCCACTCCTCACTCTGCCTCCATATATCAGGCATCACTTAGCTTCTGTTCGATTTTCAGATTGTACAGTTTGGCAAATCAGAGGACATTTTGGTGGAGGCTTTGTAGCTTCTAAGGGCGCTCTGGTGGGCTAGGAAGGAGTTGTGCTCCCAACCCAAAGGCATGCAGTTCAAATCCACCAGCTGCTTTGTGGGTTAAAGATGGACAGTCTCCTCCTACAGAATTTGCAACCTCTGAAGGTCAGCCATGGTCTGGTTCTGACTCAGAGGCAGATAATAGCAACAATGTGTGCACGTTATTGTCTGAAATTCAGATTACATAATTGCATCACAATACTTGTTATATTGAAACTTCCAGGAAAACAGAAAGTACTGAATTTCACTGTGTTCAAAGGACTTTAAACATCCCGCCAAATGTTAATTTTGGAAGCTTCCAGTCTGTACCTGTGAATGTGTGTGTGTGTGTGTGTGTGTGTGTGTGTGTGTGTGTGTCTCTTGAAAAAACACCAGAGAGATTTTCCTAACAGTTGTTATTAAGTGCCATCGAGTCGTAGAATTTTTTTTTTTAAACTGACTGACTACTGCTGCTGCTGTTGTTGTTGTTAAGTGCTGTCGAGTCGCAGGCAACTCATAGCGACTCTATGAAGGAGAGTCCTCGATGCTTGGGTGCCTTTCATCCTCTCTCCAGGTTCACAGAGTTTCTGGAGGCAAGCTATTATGGAAGTGGATGCCACTCCTCCTTCCAAGCTGACTGACTACTCTTAGGAACCAAAAAAATAATGGTTCCGAACAGCAGTCAGTTAAAAAAAAAAATCCTGTCGATGAGTAGAATACCAGCTGTGAACTCAGGTGAGAAGCATAGCAAGAACTTCATCAATTCCCAGGTGTCTCCATCATTTGTCTCACACAGGATGTCCTTAGGGAGGGTTTGTATCCCTGTGCCTTGTCACTGCTAAAAAGGTCTCTAACCACACCAGCTGCCAGTGTATCTATCAGCTCTGACTCACGCTGAGCCCATGTTAGAGTAGAGCTGTGCTCCATAGGATTTTCAGTGCCTGTGATCTTTCAGAAGTAGATCACCAGGCCTTGCTTCTGAGGTGTCTGTGGGTGAAACGGAACTGCCAGCCTTTTGTTTAATGGCTAAGTGCTTAACGGTTTGTACTACACAGAGGTTGCCAGAAAGCCTCTAGTGCGGTGAATCTGATGAAGCACATGCAACTTGTATCCTGTATGAACTCACACAGCACCAGCACATCCCTAGGGAGCAAGACGAGTCTTATCACCACCTCTCCACCAAGACAGCCCTTCTTCCTCATCTCCACAGCTGCCTTCTTTTCTCCATTCCCTGCAACCTCGTTCTCCACTCCCCCTTTCCTCCTTTTAACTTGAGATGCTATTCAGTCTGTCTTGTCAGACATGAAAGGTTGTTCTGTTCGGAGATCTTTGGAGACCCATCAAATGCTGAGTCTCCATGATGCGATGACATGAGGGCTCATTGATCGCCAGATGTTATTGGCCTAGTGGAACACAACAGCGCATATCAGAGCCAGCACAGTGGTGGTGGTGGTGGGGGGGGGTTGCAGCCAGGGTGGCCGGCCAGGGACATGGTGTGAGATCAGGGTGACCACGTTCTCGTTGGTGTCCCCACACAGCGGATTTCCTCAGTGCCCAGTTGCATGCCAGACCATTCTTTGCTGGAACTTGGTTGATCTTGAAAGAATGCCTATTCCCATTGATATTCAAAGATAGCAAGATGATTCATAGTTTTCGCTTCCCTTTCCTTAGTACAAATAAGCCTTGTCTGTCCCTTATCCCACACTAGCTGTTGGTACATGGTCCAGGGGGTAGGGGTGGGGAAATTTAATTGTAATCCTGTTTCAGACCTAACTAGTGAGATTTTCAAGCCCTTATATCAGAAGAATAGGACAGTTTTAACTTAGTTTAGTTCTTTTTATGAAACATCGATTTCAACAAGGAAGTATAAAATGTGTGTCCTGTTCTTCTCCAGTCCAAACTTTCCTGCCTTGATCTCATGATTTCTAGATTTATTTATTTTTTTTATCCTTTATATTTTAGCTTGTAACTCTTACAGTTTTTGTTTTGTTGCCAGCATGGCCTTTCTGGGCTTTGCCCTTCCATGTTTGATTGTTAACACAGAAAAGTTGAACACAAACGGAATAAATCCAAGATAGTCAGGAGAAGGACAGGCAGCTGTGAGGTGGGACAGGAGTGAAGCACCCTCCTAGCCTGGTCTCTTAGGCCTCCGACTAGTCTACTGCCCCCAGCACTGTCCTCCTCGTTAGAATGGCTTCCCCCAACACCCTTTGAAGCAATAGGTTTATAGTTTACAATGGTTTCTGTTGGTTCCAAGGAACCAACATTAATTCTTAGTCCTAGGTGGTTGTTGGCTGTGTACCCCCGAGTCTGAACTGATGCAGCGCCGACCCTCTAGTGGGTTTTCAGAGGCATTAAATCACGTGGAGGAGATTGCCTGTCTTTGTCTTGCAGAGCAGCCAGTGGATGTGGACTTTATGCCTCTTGGGTTGACAGCTCAATTCCTTACCACTAAAGTCACCAGAACACTCTGGACAAGTTCTCATGAGTCAGAAAGCAAATGTGTTCATCTTGCTGCTTTGCAGAATGATTTCTCTTCTCCACAGAGTTGTTGCTGTTGTGTACCATCGAGTTGGAATGACCTCATAGCTGACCCTCCACCAGGTTTTCTGAGGCAGTATAATCACACAGGAGGAAGTCGGCTAGTTTTCTCCTACAGAGCAGCTTATGGATTTGAACCAAGTTTTCTTTGGGTTGGCAGCACAACCACTGAGAGGAGAAGGTGCCTCTAAGCAAGTTTGAATAAGTGTCACCTTCCTTATTCAACTGCTGTCAGTTGACAGCAGAACTTTTGCAAGTGAAACTTAAAGGCAATTGGAACCTTTTCACTGAAAAACAAGAGTAGTCTTCTCCACCCCCCCTTGTCCCTAAGCTGCCTAGGATCAGATAATACACTCTTTTTTTGGCTGAGTGTTACCATCTCTTGTGATGGGATGATGGCAGAGGTGATGGTGAAAATGATTTTGCAATAATATTTTATGATAATATTATCATAACAAAAGCTTACCTGTACCTAGTGCTTACTCTGTGCCGGTGCTGTTCTAAGAGCCTTACGAGTATTGCCTCAAGTAGCCTTTGTGGTAACGCTATGAGATCAGCCTTGTTATTGTCCTCGTCTTAGAGATGAGCCACTGAGGCACCAGGTAGCTGAAGTGGTTAGTTTTCCAAGAGCTAGGAAGTGACAGAACTGGGGTGTAGCTCAAGAAGTCTGAGCCAGAGTCTGGCTCAATTATATATGTATACATACATACATTCATATATATACATATACATACACATACATACACATACATATATATATATATATAAAAATATCTCAGTTATTCACATAGATACCATCACTGGCTCTGGGCAGGTAGGCAAAGGCCACAAGGAGTTAAGAGAGCAGACTCTGGCTCAGACATCAGAGAGTTGGACAATGACTAGGGAGGACAGAAGGAGAATTGATGCCTTTGAGCTGTGGTGTTGGAGAAGAGTATTGAATGTACCATGGACTGCCAAGAAAACAAACAGATTCATCCTGGAGAGGGTTAAACTGGGCTACTTCTTGGAGGCAAGGATTCTGAGGCTTCATCTGACATACTTTGGACATGTTGTAAGGAGAGACAGGTCCTTGGAGAGGGACATCATGCTTGGGAGGGTGGAGGGACAGCACAGGAGGGGAAGACCCTCTATGAGGTGGATTGATTCAGTGACTGGGGTAATCTGGATAGGTGTGTCAGAGGCCATGCAATTGGCACAGGATAGAGCAGGGTTTAGGGCTGTTGTGCATAGGGTCGCTATGAGTTGCAAACGACTCAACGGCACATAACAACAACAACATGTATGTATATACAAATACAAACATACATAAACCCATATAAACATATATCTCAACTATTTATGTTGTTATTGTTGTTACGTGCCGCCTGGTCACCTGCAACTCATAGTGAACCTACATACAACAGCTCTGAAAGCTGCCCTGTCCTGAGCCAGTCTCACTGACTCCAACACCCCCATTGCTCCAGTCACTGTATCAACCCATCTCATCTGGGGTCTTCCTTTCCTGTGCTGTTCCTCCACCCTTCCAAGCATGATGTCCTTCTCGAAGGACTGGTTCCCTCCTGGACATGTGCCCCAGGTGTGAGAAAGAGCTTCAAAATCCTAGCCTCCAAGGAGAGACTTGGTTTCACCCTCTACAGGACAGCCCTATTTGTTTTTTGATGGTCCATGGTATGTTTAGGACTCCTCTCCAGCACCACAACTCAACTCTATATAGGTGTGTATGTATATCTACCAGAACTCCTGTATACATACATACATACATACATACATACATACATACATACATACACACATGCGCGTGCGTGCACACACACACGCACACATCCATGCACAACACACACCAGCTATCTACCTATACCAATATGTGTACACACACACACACACAAACATGTTGTTGGTAGGTTCCATCATGTTGACTACAGCTCATGACGGCCCTAGGAACAATTGGTTTGAACCTTGCCCTATCCTGTGCCCTATCACAATGTCTGATACAGGAAATTTGCCATTTTAGTTATTTTTAAGTATAAAATGTAGTAACATTAATTATTTTCATCACATTGAATAATCATGATCGTATCTACTTCCAAAAGTTGTCGTCACCCCAGTTATTAAATAACTGACCATCCCTCCTTGGCAACTAATAAACTTGTGTCTCTGTACATTTACCTGGTCTAGCTATGCCCTTTAAGTGGAATAATACCATATCTGTTGTCAGCCTTAATTTTTTTAATCCTTAATCACTTTCATGCTCAGCACAGAGTAATGTTCCTTAAACATGAATTACTCCATTATCAGACAGCTTTAGATTGTACATTATGATACTGGTAGTGTCTGAAGTGTCATTTAGGCAAATAACCCCTTGACACACCCACACAAATTCTGGAGATTGTCTGATCCAACCTAGCTGACAGAGTCCTCCACTTTTATCTTGCATCTGGACACGGGCAGTGAGTGGACGCGAACGGGACAAGGGAGGAGTGACTGCTTGAGAAGAGGTCTCCCTCTCACGGTCTCGTGCTTTGTCTCTTTCTTGCAGAAGGTGGAAGTGCCCATGATGCTGAGGCTCCTCAGGGAGCAGAGGATGTTCATGATCCAGACCATCGCTCAGTACAAATTTGTCTACCAGGTCCTCATCCAGTTCCTGCAGAACTCCAGACTCATTTAATCCCCACAGCCCAGCTCCTGGGAGAGGGAGCCCGCTCATCTTGCTGATGGGGAGGCCCTTCCAGACGACATCTGCTCCCCAGCCGGCAGCAGGCAGGCCCCGGGCCCTCCCAAGATGGGGAGCCAAGAGTCTTCATCGACATCATGTATTATTTTATATGAGATAATTTATTTTTCCCCTTTGGGATGACGTTTGTGAAATCATTGTAATGGAGTTGTTAAGATGTAGTACTTTTTTCATTTGAACCACATGGCGACTGATCTGCATTGTAACTCGTCAGCAGGAAGAGTGCCCGGTGGGGCAACTGGGGGACTGAGGCATATGGGAGCACGTCTCTGGTGAGGTTGCAGCCAGGCTTGTAACCAACCTGAAATCCATCTGCTTAATTTCTCATGTCCAAATCAAAGATGGCAAGAAAATGAATTGATCCTAACTTTTTAAGAAAAAGGTCAAGGCCCTTCTGGTGAGGGAAGACACTCTATGTGCTTGTATTTCCTGGGTCCTGATCTCTGATGGACAGTTCATTTCCTTCTACCTTCTTTGCTGCCCTCACTTTTATTAGTTCCTCTTGTTTTCTCCTCTCTTGTAAGCTGGAGTTAGAAACAGGATGAGCCCCGGGAAATGCTCCCTTTTGCTGCTGTAATTGCCATCTTCCGGGCTGAATGGGCAGTTTGGTGCCGGATCTTTCCTGACCACCCATGATCCGGACTCTGGAGGCCGTGCTTGTCTGCTGGGATTGCACCGCAAACCTTTGTTGCATCTCCCATTCACTCTGTGGGCTCCAGCCTGGTGGCCTTGAGGCCCTGGGCCAGGCCATCTGTTCATTTAGGCCCCTTGCCTGATCGAGAGGGGATAATGGACCAGAGTGGAAAGGGAAAGGGAGTCAGAGCCTTGCTAGTTGTTCTTATGTAAATACTATGTTTGTGCTGGACAGGTGCCTGAAGGTTGGGGTGCTGGGTGCATTCTACGTTTCCATCATGTGTTAAATCACTGGAAAGGTTATGAAGGGAGCAGTTGGGGAGGCTGATTGATGGAGGCCATTTGGCATGGAGGTAGCCGAGGTTCTGGCCACGAGCCACACACAGAGCGAGCCCCACTGCACTGGGGATCTTCTCCAGGACCAGCTCCAGGCTTTGGCTGGGAGGAGCAGAATGAAATCTGCTGATGCCCCTGTAATCTACATCTTTGTGAAAGACAGGGAAATTGTCTCTGTTGAAGCCCTCAGCCACTTCCCTTCTCCAAGCACTCTGTGTGGTCCAGCATGGTATTAACACTACTCTCAGGTGAAGCCCAGTTTGGTTTCTCTCTTCTTGATTTCACTGGCGTGGTGCTGCTAACAGAAAGGTTAGTGATTCAAATCCCTTCACTGCTTCATGAGAGAAAGATGGGCAGTGTCCTTCAATAAAGCTTTGCCACCCCAGAGACCTGCTGGAGGGTTCGCATGAGTTGGAACTGAATCAGCGGCAGTGGGTTGATTTTGGTGGGTTTTTACTTGCTTGGCCACTGTCTTGAATTGCTTAGGTTAGCACACAGTGAATTAGGCCCCAAATGTTTTCTCTCTTGCTTAGTTTTAGAGTTATTTCCTGCTTTACAGTCTAGTTTTTCTTGAGCTCTTCTAAATTACGGTTTTGTTCATAGACTTAACCCTGCGGGTACACCATCCTGCCTTCCTCTGTGGCAGCCTTTTATTCTGAACTGGAAATACAAAGGATTCTCTCATTTGGGCCAGTAAGAGCATGCCTGGGTGACATACTGTCACTACGCACCATTAGAAAGGTCTGAAAGCAGTTTTCTGAGACCTGCTTTGGAATATGAATCAATCCCTTTTTATCACCATTGCCTTACCTCTGGCCAGGGGTTGTGGTTATACAACAATACAATTTTGAATCTGGGGACAGAAAGCTCATTCTTTTCTTACTCCAAAATCTGAAGACTCAGTCAAGGAGTAGAATTTCATTTGAGCTTTGTAGGTGCTGGAATTCTTAATGTATGTTCTAGAAAGAAAACCGTTAGTCTTTTGTGTATTTTCAGTGGAACAGACCTTATAACTCACCATGAGAAGCTCAGAACTTGGATAATTAACAGACAAAGAAGTCTGTTTCCTTTCTTAAGACTTTCTATCCTTGGGGTACTCTGCTGTTAGGGGTGTTTCAGCAATTTGTCAGCAGTTATTGGTTTATTGCATAATGAACATTAGTATTTCGCTTCATCTTTTAGGCCTCTGCTTGCTTACTGCTCAGATGTGTCAGATGGGCAGTTTGTCGAGCTCTGTGAAGTCATCACATTTAAACCTGTCCATTTCCCCCCACACTGTGAAATACTCACTAAGGCACAAAATGTGGGAAAGAAGTGGGCTTCGCAGCCATCTTCCTAATCAACGCCTATATTTAAATCCAGAGGAAAACATTTAAAAGTTAGCCCAGTAACTTCTACATATTTCCATTTTAAAAACAAATATTTGAGGTTCTTGAGCACATTTTTCATTCCTCTTCACATCTCTAGCAAATGCCAGCAGAGCTCCTGTTAAATTAGCAACAACCATTTAAAGTCTTTTCCGTGGCATCTGCATAATAATTGCCCAGAGATGCTTTATATCTGGGAAGCCAGCCAAGGAATAAACCTTGAAGCAAAGTGTATTAAATTAGTTATCTAGTTAGAGCTTTTGGAATGATTTCGTGGTGATGGATCAAGTCTGAAGTTGGAGCTGTCGAGTTCTATTGCTGCAGTTTGAACTTGAAGGGAGAAAATTAAAAATGGAAAAGAAAAAGCACATATAAGAGAGATTCACAACTCACAAAAAAGCCATCAAACACTTTCAAGCCTCTGATTTGGAGTTTCCTAGTGGAAATTTTTTTTGCCCCACTTAGATTCTCATACTGGCCCAGGGTGCTCCTCCTCTCATCCTGTGGTCATCAGGTCATGGGGTCTGAACTTGAGGTCATCTTTATGAGCATAAAATAGCTGGGAAAACCAGGCAAGACCCTTCTGCGTTTTATGTGTACAAGAGCCCAGGCTCATTTCTCCCACTGGGGATGAGTAAGGCTGCTCATTCACTCATTGCTGTCGAGTCAGAAAGGACTGATAGCTGACCCTCCATTGGATCTTCAAGGCTGTAAATTGCACAGGAGACTCCCACCTCTATCCCAACAATAAGGTCAAAGAAGGTGAAAACATCTTCATGTGAAATAGATGGGGTTATAAGTGGAAGCAGGAGTGGCATCCACTTCCTAAACAACATGCCTCTGGAAACTATGAACTCTGAGAAACTGCAATAGTTGCTTCAGGTCTTTTGTTCTTAGGGTCTCTGTGTGGCGTGCTCAACTTGACGGCAGTTAGCAACAAACAACAAGCTTGCCTTGAGAGAATGTTGTTTGTGGTCTTAGGTTGAAAAGAACATTACTTCAGCTGCATGGTTTGCTAAGAATTGCTATACTCCGTTGGGTCCCTCCCACTCCATTGGCTTCAAGGGAAGGTCGTGGTGGACTTGCCTGGGATGGAGGTCTTTCCTCTGGCTTATCCAGAACACATTGCTCCCTAACTTGCCTACCCTCCTCTTTTGCAGCTCAGTTATAAATTCAGCTAGGTATTCTAGGTGAGTGTTTGTATTCAGCTGATCACATTTTTTATCCTTTGCAGCCTAATCTAGGTCACTCCAAACAAAATTTTCAGTATTTCATAGTAATTCATTTTCAGTGAGAGTATGCATGTGTATAATGTACAATTTGTTTCTTCCTCCCTGGTAATCCAAACTCTGAGTTGTAACTTCAACCCCAATCCTGCAGGTGCTCAGCGGTGCTCCTTTGATGTGGTGCCAGGGCACATGCCAAACCTGCCATGGTTTAGAGAGCCCCTGCTTCCTCCCAATACAGCGTGGATCCTAATGCCCACCTCCCACATCCCCACACAGGTGCTAGTGAGCAGGGGTGCATGCGCAGTGGACAGTCCTGGCCCTCCACTTGACTGCCTTGCTGTAGTAGTGACCGCTGGCTCTGTGGCTGAGAAGGCCATCTCCTGGGACGTGGAAGTCACCCTCTGCAGAGATGGTTGTTCATTGTTGGTTCTGACAGGCTCATCACTGTGGCATTTTCCGCTTCCATCTTTTCTTGTGCTGTAATCTGTAATGAGCACATTCCAGAATGGCTCTGCTCAGTAGTTATGGATCCTGACCTATGGGGCCTGAAGGTGTCTTCAGTCACAAAGCAGAAGGTCCCCTCTGATCCTTCCTCCTTGCTGCCAAGTTGATCCCGACTCATAGCAGCCCTGCAGGACAGAGTAGAACTGCCGCGTATGGTTCCCAAGGCCGGAAATCTTCAGAGAAGCAGACTACCTCATCTTTTCGCCGCTAGAGCAGCTGGGAGTTCTGGGTTTGAACAGCTAACCTTTCAGTTACTGTACCATTGTTTAATGCACGGCACCACTGGGGATTCTTTGAAAGCCAGTGTAGCTGTTGCCTTTCCTGTCTTTAATGAGCAAAGTTAACAAACTCTCCAGCTGCTTCCAAATGGCCAAATGTGGGTTTTCAGTGGATATCTTAGATTTTCCAGTGATCTGTAGCTTTATGGGTGACAAACTGGTTGGCTTGGTAAGGTAGAAATAAAGCTCCACGTTGCCAGTTGCATTTAGCATTGCCTTTGAATACAGAGCAAGTAAGCAAAGGTTTTCATCTTTACCTCAGTTTGTTTTTAGACTCTAAGATACTTGGGGGCAAGAGTTCTTACTGATGTGTATGTAAAAAAAGCAGCTGCTGGTGGCCTCAGAGAAATAGGTTCTTCCAACCAAACGTGTTGCCTAGATGTCAGTGTGATTTAGGGGTTCTTGTTGAGACTCTTGCCTGTCCAGTGGCCACTTACCCCTTACCTCTAATGTGCCTAACTTTCACATTTCACATCTAAAGTCCAAATGGGTAAGCATTTTTATCCTGTGGATTACCCTTCTTCTCTTTTCCAGTTTAATATGGCTGTGTCTTCTTCCAAGGCTAAGTCTTCATCCCTGTTTCCTATTAAAATGTTCATGAGGCTGACATAGCGTATCTGACATGAGTGCCAGGTAATTTATTGTTTAGTAAAGAGAGGATGTGTACCAGTTCCTACTGTGTAGGTCACTGATCGGCCCTCTCATCTTAAAAAGAAATCCAAGAGCATTTAATTAGGAGGCAGAAAGGTCAG